TAAATTACTCGAAGTTAAGTATATGTATTTTATTTTGATATTTTTATAATTTGATGATTGTTGCTTAATCAACTAAAAATTTGTCTAAAAATGAATACTAGTTTATGAATGCTGTTTTTTTCTTTCTTCCTTTTTTTACTCTGGAATAATGAAAATGTTTGGTTTGATTAGTTTAAAATAAATTAATCTATCTAAATTAAACATTTCAGTTTTCAATATTTTCAATAATGTGATACACATCTATAAAAAGTAATGTATATTTGAACTGGAAACATTATTTCAACATTTTTAAAACTATGACAAGTCATATTTTGTTAAGCTGATTTAATCCAAAATCCAATTATTGAAATTCCATTTTAACTTCTAATTAATAAAATATTTTACATTTTATGTGCAGATAAGAAAAGAAAGATATTAAAATTTTTCATTTTTAACTAAACATTTAGAATAAATAGGATTTTAATTTAATATGTATCAATCAAAAAACTGTTGAATTATTAAAAATACAATAATTAATCAAAAATGTTATTTTCAAATTCAATTGAAATGTTCTTTATTTATTTATAGTATTTTAAGAATATATTTATTAACAATTATAATACAGTACAGTATATAAATCATAAATGAAAATCTTAAAAGTTTAAATTGTAAATATGATAGATTCATCGAAACTGTGGGCAATTGGTAATTGGAAAGCTTTTTATAAGAATTTTATAGTTTGTCAACTGATTCTAATAATTAAAAATCTTCTCTATGGAACTTTTAGAAATAAAACATCCATATACTGTACAATGTCGTATTTTGAGAGTATGGCCAATATGGTCCAAGCCATAGATGACAAAGAATGGTGTCAATATTTTTTAAATTTTATTTATTAAATCAATAAGAATTGCATATAGTTCTGTAAAAATAACTTGAGACTTTATACACACATACTGTACATACATAAAGAAGTTATTTATTTATTTTTCTTAGATGCCAGATTTTGTCTGCACATTGCTGTTCATATATACTGTATTTAGTGTAACCATCAATATCTTCTGTTGAAACTCATTAGATATGCTTATAAATATTTAATTCTCTTATTGTCATTTTTAAATCACTGATAATACATATGATTCTTTGATAGTTCAATACAAGTCTTTATAAAACAAGAAAAATAGCTAGCTAGAATTTAGATTTCTATTGTGTATAATTGTCTCAAATTTTAATTGAAAGATTTTATTAAATGATATTTTTTTCAATTATATTACTAACCTATTAACTTTTAACTTTGTATTATATGCAGTTCAATTAACTATTATATACTGTATATTTAAAACAATTTTAAAAACAAAATATTTATATTCTTAAAAAATGTTTATTATTATTGCTTATTGTTAATTTAAAAGTGAATGATGATATCCTTTGTAATATGCGTTTATCAGTTCATGCTATTATTTTGGAAATTAACTTCTTTTTATAAATAAATGGTTTAATTTAAAATTCACATTTAACATTTCCATAGAATATTATATGGAAATATATATTTTCATTAAATATATTTTATATTTTGGTAATAAAACTGAATTTAAATGAAATTTTGCATTGTATTAAGTAGGCTTACATTTACATAATATATTATTGTTTTTATTCATCAAAACAGGTGGTAAAAGACAATAAATTCTATTTCCTGTGTATCATAATAATTTATTAGGTCACATCTGTAAATTCTGAGTATAATTTGATTCAACTTCTTAAAATAAATAGAAATTAACTAACAATTACTTAATTCATTTAATATCAAATAATGGATAAAATTTTAATTAGAGATAAGTTTGACTGAATAATTGATTGATTGTTTTATTCAGATCATATATAAATAAAGGAATGAAAACAAATTTCATTATTCATTTTATATGAAATCTATTTTTTTCATTTATATAATTCATATTTTATAAAGAAGAAATAATTTGATTTAAATTTTTTTATTAATATTATTATTATAAATTTTTTTATTATAGTTAATTTTAACATTGATTATTTGTCAAAAAGATTAACGTATAATTTTAAATGCATTTATTATAAATGAGTTTTTCACAAGATATAAATTAAAATGGATATTAAATGAATTTGTTGTTCTTGTTGGCTGACTTTTTACAAATAAAATATTATCATATTAAAAATATAGAAAGACAGTTGCCAGAAAATGAAAAAAGAATATGTTGTTAATCAACAGTCTGGATAATAGTGTTAGTTTAGGAAGTTTAGAGATGATTTCATCAAATGTCAAAGCATTTCCTTAGATAGAATCCACTGTTAACTTTGACATCTGATTTAATATACATTAATTAATTAATTAATATCTGCTATTAATTGATTTATGGCTTGTGAATTTAATTACTCTTGTAATATTTTTCAAAAATTGATTTGTTAAAACATCAGTTTACCAAATACATGCAGATTTGTTCTGTTATCTCAGATGAATTTTATAATTATTTGACTACTCAGCAATATTTATTTTGGAATCATGTCTAAAACTGTGTGTGAATTCTTATCAATTAATCAAAATAATCTGTAAAATACTACATAAATTAAAAATTAATTAGAATAAATAAATTTTTTTATGAATTAAACATAATCTTTATGATTAGATTATAAATATTTACTTTATTGAAAATTTAGATTTTTGTAATATTTAATATAAATTAATTTCTTAACTAATAGTAATTTATTTAGATTTAGATAATTTATAAATAAAATTTTATTGCGTTTATTATTAATTTTGGTATTGCTGTGTAAGTTTAAAATCTGTATTTACGATATAATTAAGATTTAAAAAAAAATATTTTCAAAACATTTAGAAAATTAAATTTTTCTAAATTTCTAAATAAAATGAATAATTTTATTATAATGTTTAGCTAAAAAGAAATTTTGTATATGCTAAATACACAGATAAAATTAACTTGTAAGATAAGTTTAGTTAAACAGGTGTTTTATGCTAATATTTATCAGTATTTTATTTTATTATAGAATTATTTCTGTATATAAATAAATTAATTTCCTGTGAAAATATATTCCATATAATTCATGTTTGAATTGTAATGTTCATCATTTTTATTTTTTAAAATGTATAATAGAAAAGTATACATTTATATATTATTATTATATCTTAAGTTTTAAAAATTAGTAATTTAAATTATTAAAAAATTTATATTAATGTTTATTAAAAATTAATCTTAAAACATGAAGGAAAAGAAGTCATTTATATTTTAAATGATATTGAAAAAAATAAGGAAGATGGTGAATAAATTAAATGATAATAGGATTATATATAAGTTAGAAATTGCTTAATTATTAGGATTAGTAAATGCCAACATTTTATCTTAATCAAATATTCATTTAAACATATCTAGATCATTCATTAAATATACAGATGTATAAAAATAACAATTTAATGATTTCTTCAAAGGATTTATTAGATTATGAAATGTTCTTCTTCCAAACCAAAATTAAAGAATTAAATGTAATATTAAATCATTCTTTATGCTAATATATTATTGTGAATGATTTATAAAAATTTTACAGGAAAGGATAATTATTGAACATGATTTATTTTTAATAGAAGAGAATAATTATTCCCATTTTTTTCTTATCTAAGTCCCTATTTGAATAATCTATTATAAATTTTATTAATTTGAAAACTTTAAATTACAACTGTAAATGAATAATTTTGTAATATTTAACAAAAATAATTTTGTATATACTAAATACACAGATAAAATTAACTTGTAAGATAAGTTTAGTTAAACAGATGTTTTATACTAACATTAATCAGTATTAAATTACTTTTATTATAGAATCATTTCTGTATATAAATTAATTTCCTCTAGAAATATATTCTATGCAATTTATGTTTGAATAAAATATTAACTGAAATATCTTTAAATGTTTCTAAACTTTTAAAGATATTTCAGTTTAATCTCAAAATTCTGAAAAATTGAGATAATATACTAAATTTCTAATTAATTATATCATTATATTGCAATAGACACCAAGTTTCAGCTAAAAATATTATCTCAATCAAACTTTTATACAGTGCAATCTTAAAGTTTCTCTGCAGTGGGTGGGGAAATGGGAGGAACTTTCAGGAAAAAAGTAATAATGTCACAGGCAGGGTGCACATTGAAAAAATTAAAATTATGACGTTACCACTTGGCCAAGCCACGTAGGTCTGGCCCACTGCGGAGAGACTTTACGGTCTTAATGTTTCATTTATTAATATTAATTTAATATTAAAATAATACCATAAATAGTAATCAAATAAAATTGATAATTTACATTATATGAATAATTAATTAATTACATTTTTTTTTACAGCCATCTAATAAATTAGCTGTTTTGGAATCTCCTATTTTGATTTCTACGTTAGATGGTTCTTTACATGCTGTTAATAAATATACTGGAGAAGTCAAATGGACTTTGAAAGNGTTAAGTTTAAGTTTATTTTTATATTTGATATAGACCGAAATAATAATCAGCAGAGGTTATCCAGTGGAAGAATATACGGTCCAAACGAAGGATGGCTACCTTTTGAAACTATTTAGAATTCCCTATGGCCGAAAAAGTCAAGTACAAAACACCAAAAATCGTCCAGTAGTGTTCCTGCAACACGGTCTTCTGGGATCTGCCACTGACTGGGTGATCAACTTCCCTGACCAGAGCCTTAGTAAGTCATGTTTTTCGAGGATTGATCTGTTTCAACGACTAAAACCTTTAAATTAGAAATGTATGGCTTAAAATTTAAATAATCGTTTACATATAAATTTCTAATTAATTATATCATTATATTGCAATAGACACCAAGTTTCAGCTAAAAATATTATCTCAATCAAACTTTTATACAGTGCAATCTTAAAGTTTCTCTGCAGTGGGTGGGGAAATGGGAGGAACTTTCAGGAAAAAAGTAATAATGTCACAGGCAGGGTGCACATTGAAAAAATTAAAATTATGACGTTACCACTTGGCCAAGCCACGTAGGTCTGGCCCACTGCGGAGAGACTTTACGGTCTTAATGTTTCATTTATTAATATTAATTTAATATTAAAATAATACCATAAATAGTAATCAAATAAAATTGATAATTTACATTATATGAATAATTAATTAATTACATTTTTTTTTACAGCCATCTAATAAATTAGCTGTTTTGGAATCTCCTATTTTGATTTCTACGTTAGATGGTTCTTTACATGCTGTTAATAAATATACTGGAGAAGTCAAATGGACTTTGAAAGAAGGTATAATCTTATACATGTTTTTCTTGTAGTAGTAGTAGCAATAGTGTTTTGTAAGTAATTAATTGATATAGTTAGTAGACATTTATTGGTGTTGATGAATGTTTATTGATTCTATCTGTAAATATGATTTATAGTAGATATAACTAAGTTCTAAACATCTGAATTATATAGATGCTTTTTTTTTTATAGGAATTCTATACACATATAAACATCTTATAGCTCAATGATTATTATATTAAAGTCAAACAATTACCAGATTAAATCAGGTTACATTAATGCTACTAATAATTATTAAATACTGAGTAATTTGGACTTGTATAAGTGATGTGTTTAATTTTAATGTTTATTGATATTAAAGTGGAGTTAAAAATAGTTGTCACTATGTTTTATATCTGTATATCTTGGTGAAACAATTGTGTATTATATTTCTATTATTTTTTATAAACTAACTGTATTCGGCAATTTTTTCTGCAAAGACATTAATTACTTTATCATAAAAATCGCTTGTCATTGATTCCATTAAAATATTTAAAAGTTCTTTTTTTCTATTGAAAGCAATGCTAGTGACGATAATCTTTCCTCTAACTGAGTGTTTTTTGCGAATGTATGAATTTGCTTCATGGTTGAAAAACTGAACTCAACAAATGCACTCATAGATGGTACCGTAAAAATTAATGATATTAAATCATATAATTCGTTTAGTACATCTTTGTTCAAATCATCATTAATTATAATATGTTTTATGTCTAAGAGTGACTTGTCAATGTGGTCTGGACATGAATATAAATATTGCAATTCACTACATAATTTAGATAAATCAAAAAATTCTTCATACAATTTACTTAATTTAAAGAATTAATACTCACTTTGTAAATTTATCTCTTTTAGATGTTAATAATTAAAATTATTAACATCTAAAAGAGATAAAAATTCTAAAGATTTTATGCCTGAAAATCTGTAAATATAATTATAATTAAATATAGCTTTGTAAAGAAATGTACATAAAAATAACATAAAATCTTCTTTACTTTTTAAATCTTAAAACAATCCACTTAGTCAAATAGCTCCCTATGAATGGTTAATGGATAGAATCATTGGAAGCGTTATAAGATATTTTAGTGTGCAGTATCCACAAGCTAAACTTTATGAGGTTGGTGCTCTGTAAAGTGCATGTGCCTGTAATCTGGCTGCTTTACACGATTAAAATATTTTCACCATGGAAGCTATCCCATATTCAACAATACACCTCTTCCATTGGGAATATGCATATATGAATTTATATTTGAATCTTATCATTGCAATCTTATTATTGTTTTTCACATGTATATAAATTTGTAATAAAATAATACAGTTATAATAAAATATTAATTTTAAGTAATTTGCAAAGTATGTTAAAATACGAAAATAATCACACAATATATACAGTAATACCCCGAACTTACGTGATAGGTGGAACCGAGTGATAACCATGTAAGTCAAATTCGCGTAAGTCGGGATATAATTTCCCAATCTGTGTAAAATCCAAGTCGGATGTATGTAAGCTAATGAATGTTCTCGTTAATATTGTCTCATCTTTTGATTCGTTTACGGTTACAAGAAATCACCACATAGAGTCTCTCAAGGCGCCATAGATATAACAAAGATAGGAATAAATAACACAAAATAAATTGTAGCTATGTGTCGATTCCGCGCGACACATCCGAACATGTAAGCCGAACAATAGTGTGGGGGGAGTAAGTAATCAAGAGTTGCATGGCGCTCAAACGAGACGAATCGACGAGATTTGAAAATCGTGTAACTCCGGGTTCGCGTAAGTCGGGGTATTACTGTATTTATATTTTAGAAAATACAAGGGAAGTGGCACTTCCACAGCTTCCATGGACAGCATGCCACTGGTAAGGTGATTTCTATGGGTCCTTTCACATGATTTGATCACAGTGAAATGCTGTACATGGCAAGTTTTGTATTACAGGAGCCTTATACAGTTTTTTAGTCATATATTGTCAAGAATTTTATGTATGTCCATTTTCTCACATATTATGATTTATTACTATATTGCATATCTGGTGAGATACATTAACTCAAAATTTTCTTTTGATTGAAATGAATGTTGAATTATTAATAAATTTAGTTCAAGAAAGACCTCTTTCATAGGATAAAAGTTTAGAACAGTGTTCCGCAATCTTTTTCTACTTGTGGCACACCTATGACTCAACATGGCACACCAAAATGTTATTATTCTAAAATATGCATGATATGGTACTATTAATAGAATTACATAATACCACTAATCTATTATTATTATTATTATTATTATTAAACAGCCATTAACACCTGTGAGCAAATTTATTTTACATTTAATTTTTTAGAATACATAAAAATGCATGACTTGTAATAAAGAATAAACAAACATCATTTTATTTCATAAGTTCTGTGGCAGAGAATGAAATACAAGCATAAGAAACACAGCAACTGTGATAAAAATATATAAATAAAACTTGACAATTAATTAATAGAATATGTAAAAGTTCACGTCACACCTTTCACCTTGTGACGGCACACCAGTTACGGAACACTGGTTTAGAATAATATAAATCTTGAAATTTAACAGTAAATCAGTGGAATTGAATTTCACATTTGATGAAGTACAGTATTGTACAAATGACACAATAATTCATCAAATGTTAACAGAGTTATATAAAAGCATAATAACTTTTGGTAATGTAGAAATGCACATTTCACAGCTGGAATTAGCAGATGCTGATTCTAAAAGATTGAAGCAGTCTATGCTAACCAGGGCTGTTGACAGCTTGTATGATGCCTGAGGTAGAGTAGACCTCTTACTTTTTAGCAGGCTGCTTTTTCCATTGTGTTTTGAATAAATGAAATATGTTGAATATTTCTTCATTTACAAAAAAATAGTTTTAAAGCTTTTCTTTTTTGTTAGTAAAAATTACATTAATGTATATGTATAGGAACTATGGATCCCTAAGTTTTCTCTAGATCCAGGGAAATATTCTCAATTTTACCCTGACAGCCCCATGTACAAGTAGCAGTATACAGAATGAGCATTATGAAGATTTGTGCTAAGCATTTATGACTGCAGACATTCCTCTTCAGAAATAACAAAATAAAACCCTCTCCCAATTAATGTCAGTTCATGGTATCTAATATGGAGGTATTATTTTACAGGAGGGATGTGGCTTGGCTTGCAACCCTAATATAATCATTTTGATTCTTTGTCATGTTTTTATTAGCACTAGCTTTGATTTTAACTTAAAATTATCAAAAATAGAACTGATCAAAACATGACGCAGAATCAAAATGGCTCTATTCAGTTATATGAACTTCAATGTATTTTTCATGCTTTTCAATTCAAAATTTAATCAAGGAAATAAAGTATTTTGCATAATTAGTTTGCAATTGAAATTATAGAAACAACACAATTATTATAGACATTAAACTTTTTAGAAATATAATTTTCTATTAGTATAGATAGAAGAATATGATATATCAATAGCAGAATATGAAAGAATATCAATATGCTTAGTGTCTATTTATGCACCTAGTAGTGAAGAAAAAAACAAATAAAGGAAGACATGGTCTCAGAAATACATAACTATAAAGTTTTATTTTAATAAATTCTATATTGAATTAATGCATACAATCATACAAAATAAAGATTTAAGCTGAAAGTAAACAAAAAATAGCAATATATTATATTTATCATTAATTACATATAACAAAAAAAAAATGCTTGGAAATTTAAATATAAAAATTTTGTTTGTATTTGATGTGTTTAACTGATTCAGAGAAGGCAAGTGTAATAAATATGTCTGCTACCTGGATGCTATTTTTAAAACTTTGTACCTGTGGGCACTAAGATGGCCTTTTCTTACCATACCTATTGTTGGTTTTCTTACACTCACAAATGGAGACAGCCAGATGGTGAGAGACTGGACTTGGAAGTCAAGGTCAATCTTTTACCATCTGGGATAAACTACACATTTTTTCATATACAGTTTGTCTCACATACTGACCAGAACTAGAACCTGTGTCTTCCAGAATTGTAGACTGATACCTTTATCACTCTGGTTATCCAGCTGTGCAAACAAGAGTTGATAGATGAACTTTGAATTACAGAAAAAATAGAAGTGAGCTTTAAGGTTAGTGAAATAACACAGCAGTTCAGTTTTAATTGTTCAAACAATTCTAAATGATAAAGAAATTCAAAGAAATTATTATTTAAAATTGTTGAAGGGCTAGAATTGAGAAGTTTTAGAATATTGAAAGAAAACTTTGATGAAACCAACAATAGGTATGGGAAGAAAAGGCCATCTTAGGATTCACAGGGTATAGTTTTAAAAATATCACCAGGTAACAGACATATTTATTATACTTGCCTCCTCTAAGTCAGTTCATTCACATAATTATCCTTTTTATTAAGCAGTTTATGCAAACAATATATTTATATGTAAATATTTTACATATTATTTTTTTTGAAGCAGCAAAAATAACACATTTTTGAAATGAATTAATATGAAAATAGAGATTGTTATATGTGTTGATTAAAGAGCTAAATGAAAACTTTATATCGGGTCGCCAAAGTGGTCGATATGGACCCCCAGGGGTCGATGCGACATCATTGGGGGTTGATCAGAGGGTTGATGCGGCTAAGGGGTCACAACCTTTTTTTTTTCTTTTTCTTTTTTGCTTAGACAGAGACCACAACCCACAACGGTTTTTTTTTCGCTCATACATATACACTTGTAATAAAACTATGGTGGGGGTCAATGTGAGGCTTTGGAAAATGATTGGGGGTCGACGGTTAAAAAAGTTTGGCGACCCCTGCTTTATATCATTTAACACACACAATAATGAACACAGCATCAAGTATTGACAAGTTTAAAAGATAAGTGGGAAAATCATCTGCTAATGAGACTTTTGTGGTGATTTCAAATGTTTCAAAAAGCATTCACATTTGTATAGTTTAAACATTGTTTAGCAGTCAATAAGTATAGATAAATACATAAAAAATTTTCATATATTTATCTAAGAGAATTGCAAAATATTGGGATTCTTTATTGTAAAAAAGTAATTGTAATATGTCTGTTCTAAATTATCAAATATTTTTAATAATTCATAAAGATTCATAAAAATTTGTTTTATATTTTGATCAAAGATGTTGCAGATATGTTGCACTAAAGATATCGCTATTTTTAGTGTAACAAATAGATATTAAAATAAAAAATTAAAGAGAGATTAAAATTATAGAGAAAAAAAAAATGGGGATTAAAATTTTTAAAAAATAATGAACAGATAGTATAAAAGTAGAACATTTTTCTCTGTCTAGCACAGTAATCCAATTAACACAATCCTCAGCATAACACACTTCCTTTGTTAAATTGGTAATACTTGTATATATTAAATATGTTAACTTGTTTCTGAGTAAATAAAACATTTCAAAGTATTTAAAATTTCTAACAATAATTCAAGAAACTAAATCTTTAAACTCTGAATAATATCAGTATATACAGTAGAGTCCTGATTAACTGAGCTCCCTTTAATTGTCTCCACATTATGTGAGGTTGATTGTGGAAGAGATTTTGCTGTCTGTTATTCTCTTCTAGAAAAATTCTGATATGTATATATGTAAGAAGTTTTTCTTTTAATACAGAAAAATTTGTTATTAGCTAAATAGGCTTGTTGACCCAAGTATCCAGAAATAACAGAGATTTTAACTTGATAGGTTTTTTCCCTTTTAAAGGCTGTATCCTTATTGTTAAATAAATTTATTATTTAAAGATTTATTATATACATATTGATAAACTGTATAAAACTTATGTCTGGCATTAATAACAAAATTGCATTGATGAAATGGTTTGTGAGGTCCCAGATGGAAATCAAAATTATATGTTAGAATGATGAAAATCTGGTGAGACAGTTAAACGCTTATCTTTCAAAATTAAAACAAAGCAAGACTTAGTCTAGTTTAAACAATAAAAGTTCTTTTCATCGAAATGAAAAACAAAAGGTTGAATTATGAGGAGAATACCAACGGAATTTTAGATGAATGGGAATTGGGTTAAGTCTCGAAAATGATCTCTCCTGCACCCCAAAAGGTTTTAAATTGTCACTAGGAGATGAGAGAAGACCAATCAGGATGCTGATTTGAGAAGAGAAGCCTATAAAAATGCATGTTTCATGAACATGATGCTCTTTGCTCCAAAATTTTGTTCTTTTGCTGTTAGTCTTTTCATCTATTTCCGAGATACATTTGCTCTCCTGGAGTTGTTTGCGCTCTTCAAGATTCATCCTTACTACAAAGACTATTCTTTTCAAGGCTGTATAATGTGCCCTGAGGCTGTTGATCCTGCAGACCATAAACATAAAATATTCCGCAGACCAACTCTACGGAATATTTGAGACTTTACTGGACTTTCTCCTTTAGAATTGTGTTAACAGAGAATTATAAAATTTTGTAAGAAAACCTTTAATAATTAATTAAACAATAAAAAGAATGGTAAGTCTATCTCCGTGAATATTTCGTGTCCACACATGATTGTTCAACCTCTCAACCATCCCGACAATCGCACACAGTCAGCAAGCATTACAGGTTTAATTTTAAACATTTAAATGATTGATCAAATAGAATAATAATGAGAAATTTCTTTAAAACTATTTCAATATTTAATGTTGATTAATTTTAAAAATAGCTTAATTACTGTGTACAAATATTTGCAATTTAAGAAATAAGTAAATCTAATTAAAATTTCTTAAAGTTTTTAAGATTATTAATATTTTATTACATAATTTAATAGGTAATTCCTAAATGAACAAGGAAGAAAGGAATGAGTAAGGAAGAAATAAATGAACATTTATTTCTTCCTTACTAAAATAACTTGGATTAAAAATAGTTCTAATGATAAAAACATAGTTATAGAATTATTACTTATAATGACTCTCAATTCTATGTGCAGTAAACTAGAACTTTATATAATAAGTTTCACAACACCTTCCTTTCTTTTTTCTAGCAATTTCTTTAATGTAACTAACGTTTTCAGCTATTTTAAATGGCCTTCTTCAGGTTAAACAAAAATAGAATGTCAGTTATAATTTAAATCAGAACATAAATGTAAAACATCAAGATCTTGTGACGTCATGGTTTTACAGAAGATTTGAATAAAATCTTCTCTAAAACCATGATGTCGCAAGATCTGGATGTTTACTTTCCTTAATCCAGCAATGTATTTGTATGTTTAAGATAATAATCAGTTTTATTCAGATACTTTCCTAAAATTAAACAATTTTGATTATTTATTTTTAATCTATGCTTGTTTGATAACATGAGAAAAATTTATTTAATTTGAATATGTTTTGTAAGAAATTATTGTATTTATTTAAACATTTTCTCCTTAATTAAATAAATAATAGTAATAAATTAATATAAAACAGATGTATTAATAATTCATTTAATTTTCAGCACCTGTTTTACATTTACCTGTGAATTTAACTAAAAGGTAATTGAAAAATTTTATTTTATAAGATTAAATGTTTCAGTATCAGCTGTAATTTTAATTAATGTAAATATCATAAAAATTTATTATGTAAATCAAAAAATATACAGAAATAAGTAATTCTGATCACTAAAAAAGAGTATAAAAATAGAATAAGAGAGAGTTTAATTGATATTTTTTTGTTAAGTATTTTAGATAAAATTTAAAATATTTATGACAATACTAAGAACATTTGACTGTTCAGTAGAAAAGTGGTATAAGTGACAAAGTGTAACTTGTATATATTAGTAATAAAATTAAACATTGCTTAAAAATTAATTTTATTAAGTTCAATAAATGAGTAGATATATTTACTTATAAATTTACTGACATTTATTATTCTTTCATTTTTAAATTAATACTTTTTTGTATTTTTTAAGAAAAAAACTTTATCACTATCCACTTTTCCACTGACCTCAATTTAAATGTATAATTAGTTATATAAATAATGTTGTCTGACTAATCCAAACTAATAAATAAAAGAAATTGTTTAATACAGACATCCCTAACTTTACAGATATAGATGTGTTTGTAAAAATGCATACAAAAATTAAACAATATAGTTTTGTTATAAATAGAGTTTTATCCCCAGGAAGTCTGAAAAGAAAAATTACAAAATTTCTTATTATAATAGGAAAGTTTTACTATTTATAGTGAATGTTACAATGTGTCATAAATCAAAAATCATAGACTAAAAATTTCATTAAAAAAGAAGAATGTTATCTATTATAAGAGGATTATATGAATTTGTTAGATTATATATATGATTAAATTATACAAATTATTTCAAATTATATAAGTATTTGATTACTCTGTTTGAATACTCTTGCTTCATATATTTTTTTCACTTTAGTAGTAGGATTGTTTGGATTTTTTTAATTCATTTTTGAAATTTCAAATTACACTTTTGTTGTTTTTGTGAATTATTGTTAACTGCATTTAAGAAACTTAAATTATTCTTTTACATATGAAAGTAAGTAAATTAAATGCTTAAATTAAATTTATGAATTAAGGTTATATGAGATAACATTATTATTATTATTATTAAATAACAAATTAAATTTTGAAAATATTACAGACCAACATTTTTACCAGATCCAAAAGATGGATCATTGTATATTTATGGAACAGGAGAAGGGCGAGATTCACTTAAGAAGCTGCCATTCACAATTTCAGAATTAGTAGCTGCTTCTCCATTTCGAGGTAGTGATGGTATACTTTATACTGGTAAGTAGTTTCAAAATTTTAAAAACTATTGTTACAGTTAATTTTAAAAATTAAAGATAGATTTAAAATATCATTTTCTTTGAATTTTTCAATAATATTATCATGGATATCAATGCTTATAAAAATAAATTGTTAATGGTGGAAAAAGTATAATGTAAATGTTATGACATGTACATAGCCGAGAAAGATTTTTACATACCATAATTATGATTTAAATTCAAAAAAACACAAACGTATTTTTGATTCTATAATTTTTTTTTTATTACAATATAAAAGATGTAAAATTCCATGGGATAAAAAATTATTTTTTATCTGGTTATAAATTTTTAAATTACTTTTATCTGCCTAATTTTTTTCTTAGAATTAATTTTTAAAAAACTAACTATATTTGTTTCTTTGTTATTAAAATATAAATATTATAAGTAATGTTATATAAAATTTAATTTTTGTTAATATTTTAATAAAATTTATCATTAAATATAATTTAATAATGAAAATAAAGAGTCAAGTAATGATGAGATTTTATCATCATGAATTCTTTGATGATATTGGAAATATACATTTTTATTATTAATAGTTCATTTGGATTTAAAACTAAAATAAATAATGAAATAATTTTACTTTTACACAAAATAATAATTATAAAAATTAATATTGAAATATAAAATTGTACGTAAATAGTTGAAAGTTTATAGTTTTGGTTACTTATATTATGTAATTAGTATTTGTAACCCAATGTACCTGTTGTAACTGGAGTTTTTTCCAAATTACGCTAATAAACTTGAATTGAATTGAATATATTATGTAATTAGAAATTTTTTATAAAGGCAGTTTGCATATAGCATGGAAATAATGTGCAATTTTATTTCATATATATATATGTTGGTTAATTTAACATTTTATTGTTGAAACTATTTTAAAATGAAAATAATAATTTTTTATATTTTAAACCTTTGATTTTGATTGCGATTGTGTATGCTTTGTTTGACATCAATGACTTGGTTTGGATGTTTGGATTGTTTTTAATTTATCATGTTTGTCATAATTTTAATGAAAATAATTTAATAATTTATTTTTAATGTAAAATTTGATTAGTTTAACATTAATTTTTTTTTTTTAAATTGCAGAATTGAGTTATGGGTAAAACCTTTTTATAATAATCTTGTGAATAAATGCTCTTATGTCCACTTATATTATTTGCTCATAATCTTTTTGAAAGCAATCAAATTCTTACCTATATATTGTATATCTTCTGAAATTTTCTGATTTGTTTTTGAATGTTTATCTAAACTCATTGATTCATTAGAATCTGAATTATATCTTATTTTCTCTACATATTTAATTTATTTCTCTTTTCTCTTCTTATGTAAATTATTTTTTTCATCAGTCAAGAATCTTAGTTTTTGTTTTTTTATATACATCTTTTCTTCATGATCTGTTTCTACTTTCTCTAAATAAACATATATTCACATTATTGATTTTTTAAAATGTTGACTATTAAAATATTAAATTGATTTTCAGATCAATTGAAGTATGGTACATATTTCAATTGACCTGAAAATCAATATATATAATTATTGTCTGATATAATAAAAATTTTGGTTATTTATTTAATTTGGAATTTCTATTTCAGGTAAAAAAACTGATACATGGTTTGCAATTGATCCCTTTTCTGGTGATAAACTTGATACTTTATCAATGACTGGCACTGATAAAGTTTGTCCAGTTGGAGATGAAAATGTTGTATATATTGGAAGAACAGGTAATTTTTATAAATTCTTTTGTCATTGTAATAATCAGAAATATAATTATGATATTCGACAAATTAATAATTTGTATTTACAATAAAATTAATAAAATGAAATTAATGAAAATTATAAATCACAAAATAAAAACAATTTAACTTTATTAATTGAAGAGGAATTTAAGTTTACAAATGACTGGTTTTGAGTTAGCAATGATTTCACTCTCTGTGCATGCATCCTCATTTATTTATACAGTAGGAATATACGTTATGCTTAATTGTTAGTTGTTGCAAGCATTTGATATTTACAGGTGTGGAGTAAGGGTAAATGTCTGAGGATGCTTCTTAAATGCTTNATGATACTATTAATAGAATTACATAATACCACTAATCTATTATTATTATTATTATTATTAAACAGCCATTAACACCTGTGAGCAAATTTATTTTACATTTAATTTTTTAGAATACATAAAAATGCATGACTTGTAATAAAGAATAAACAAACATCATTTTATTTCATAAGTTCTGTGGCAGAGAATGAAATACAAGCATAAGAAACACAGCAACTGTGATAAAAATATATAAATAAAACTTGACAATTAATTAATAGAATATGTAAAAGTTCACGTCACACCTTTCACCTTGTGACGGCACACCAGTTACGGAACACTGGTTTAGAATAATATAAATCTTGAAATTTAACAGTAAATCAGTGGAATTGAATTTCACATTTGATGAAGTACAGTATTGTACAAATGACACAATAATTCATCAAATGTTAACAGAGTTATATAAAAGCATAATAACTTTTGGTAATGTAGAAATGCACATTTCACAGCTGGAATTAGCAGATGCTGATTCTAAAAGATTGAAGCAGTCTATGCTAACCAGGGCTGTTGACAGCTTGTATGATGCCTGAGGTAGAGTAGACCTCTTACTTTTTAGCAGGCTGCTTTTTCCATTGTGTTTTGAATAAATGAAATATGTTGAATGTTTCTTCATTTACAAAAAAATAGTTTTAAAGCTTTTCTTTTTTGTTAGTAAAAATTACATTAATGTATATGTATAGGAACTATGGATCCCTAAGTTTTCTCTAGATCCAGGGAAATATTCTCAATTTTACCCTGACAGCCCCATGTACAAGTAGCAGTATACAGAATGAGCATTATGAAGATTTGTGCTAAGCATTTATGACTGCAGACATTCCTCTTCAGAAATAACAAAATAAAACCCTCTCCCAATTAATGTCAGTTCATGGTATCTAATATGGAGGTATTATTTTACAGGAGGGATGTGGCTTGGCTTGCAACCCTAATATAATCATTTTGATTCTTTGTCATGTTTTTATTAGCACTAGCTTTGATTTTAACTTAAAATTATCAAAAATAGAACTGATCAAAACATGACGCAGAATAAAAATGGCTCTATTCAGTTATATGAACTTCAATGTATTTTTCATGCTTTTCAATTCAAAATTTAATCAAGGAAATAAAGTATTTTGCATAATTAGTTTGCAATTGAAATTATAGAAACAACACAATTATTATAGACATTAAACTTTTTAGAAATATAATTTTCTATTAGTATAGATAGAAGAATATGATATATCAATAGCAGAATATGAAAGAATATCAATATGCTTAGTGTCTATTTATGCACCTAGTAGTGAAGAAAAAAACAAATAAAGGAAGACATGGTCTCAGAAATACATAACTATAAAGTTTTATTTTAATAAATTCTATATTGAATTAATGCATACAATCATACAAAATAAAGATTTAAGCTGAAAGTAAACAAAAAATAGCAATATATTATATTTATCATTAATTACATATAACAAAAAAAAAATGCTTGGAAATTTAAATATAAAAATTTTGTTTGTATTTGATGTGTTTAACTGATTCAGAGAAGGCAAGTGTAATAAATATGTCTGCTACCTGGATGCTATTTTTAAAACTTTGTACCTGTGGGCACTAAGATGGCCTTTTCTTACCATACCTATTGTTGGTTTTCTTACACTCACAAATGGAGACAGCCAGATGGTGAGAGACTGGACTTGGAAGTCAAGGTCAATCTTTTACCATCTGGGATAAACTACACATTTTTTCATATACAGTTTGTCTCACATACTGACCAGAACTAGAACCTGTGTCTTCCAGAATTGTAGACTGATACCTTTATCACTCTGGTTATCCAGCTGTGCAAACAAGAGTTGATAGATGAACTTTGAATTACAGAAAAAATAGAAGTGAGCTTTAAGGTTAGTGAAATAACACAGCAGTTCAGTTTTAATTGTTCAAACAATTCTAAATGATAAAGAAATTCAAAGAAATTATTATTTAAAATTGTTGAAGGGCTAGAATTGAGAAGTTTTAGAATATTGAAAGAAAACTTTGATGAAACCAACAATAGGTATGGGAAGAAAAGGCCATCTTAGGATTCACAGGGTATAGTTTTAAAAATATCACCAGGTAACAGACATATTTATTATACTTGCCTCCTCTAAGTCAGTTCATTCACATAATTATCCTTTTTATTAAGCAGTTTATGCAAACAATATATTTATATGTAAATATTTTACATATTATTTTTTTTGAAGCAGCAAAAATAACACATTTTTGAAATGAATTAATATGAAAATAGAGATTGTTATATGTGTTGATTAAAGAGCTAAATGAAAACTTTATATCGGGTCGCCAAAGTGGTCGATATGGACCCCCAGGGGTCGATGCGACATCATTGGGGGTTGATCAGAGGGTTGATGCGGCTAAGGGGTCACAACCTTTTTTTTTTCTTTTTCTTTTTTGCTTAGACAGAGACCACAACCCACAACGGTTTTTTTTCGCTCATACATATACACTTGTAATAAAACTTTATGGTGGGGGTCAATGTGAGGCTTTGGAAAATGATTGGGGGTCGACGGTTAAAAAAGTTTGGCGACCCCTGCTTTATATCATTTAACACACACAATAATGAACACAGCATCAAGTATTGACAAGTTTAAAAGATAAGTGGGAAAATCATCTGCTAATGAGACTTTTGTGGTGATTTCAAATGTTTCAAAAAGCATTCACATTTGTATAGTTTAAACATTGTTTAGCAGTCAATAAGTATAGATAAATACATAAAAAATTTTCATATATTTATCTAAGAGAATTGCAAAATATTGGGATTCTTTATTGTAAAAAAGTAATTGTAATATGTCTGTTCTAAATTATCAAATATTTTTAATAATTCATAAAGATTCATAAAAATTTGTTTTATATTTTGATCAAAGATGTTGCAGATATGTTGCACTAAAGATATCGCTATTTTTAGTGTAACAAATAGATATTAAAATAAAAAATTAAAGAGAGATTAAAATTATAGAGAAAAAAAAAATGGGGATTAAAATTTTTAAAAAATAATGAACAGATAGTATAAAAGTAGAACATTTTTCTCTGTCTAGCACAGTAATCCAATTAACACAATCCTCAGCATAACACACTTCCTTTGTTAAATTGGTAATACTTGTATATATTAAATATGTTAACTTGTTTCTGAGTAAATAAAACATTTCAAAGTATTTAAAATTTCTAACAATAATTCAAGAAACTAAATCTTTAAACTCTGAATAATATCAGTATATACAGTAGAGTCCTGATTAACTGAGCTCCCTTTAATTGTCTCCACATTATGTGAGGTTGATTGTGGAAGAGATTTTGCTGTCTGTTATTCTCTTCTAGAAAAATTCTGATATGTATATATGTAAGAAGTTTTTCTTTTAATACAGAAAAATTTGTTATTAGCTAAATAGGCTTGTTGACCCAAGTATCCAGAAATAACAGAGATTTTAACTTGATAGGTTTTTTCCCTTTTAAAGGCTGTATCCTTATTGTTAAATAAATTTATTATTTAAAGATTTATTATATACATATTGATAAACTGTATAAAACTTATGTCTGGCATTAATAACAAAATTGCATTGATGAAATGGTTTGTGAGGTCCCAGATGGAAATCAAAATTATATGTTAGAATGATGAAAATCTGGTGAGACAGTTAAACGCTTATCTTTCAAAATTAAAACAAAGCAAGACTTAGTCTAGTTTAAACAATAAAAGTTCTTTTCATCGAAATGAAAAACAAAAGGTTGAATTATGAGGAGAATACCAACGGAATTTTAGATGAATGGGAATTGGGTTAAGTCTCGAAAATGATCTCTCCTGCACCCCAAAAGGTTTTAAATTGTCACTAGGAGATGAGAGAAGACCAATCAGGATGCTGATTTGAGAAGAGAAGCCTATAAAAATGCATGTTTCATGAACATGATGCTCTTTGCTCCAAAATTTTGTTCTTTTGCTGTTAGTCTTTTCATCTATTTCCGAGATACATTTGCTCTCCTGGAGTTGTTTGCGCTCTTCAAGATTCATCCTTACTACAAAGACTATTCTTTTCAAGGCTGTATAATGTGCCCTGAGGCTGTTGATCCTGCAGACCATAAACATAAAATATTCCGCAGACCAACTCTACGGAATATTTGAGACTTTACTGGACTTTCTCCTTTAGAATTGTGTTAACAGAGAATTATAAAATTTTGTAAGAAAACCTTTAATAATTAATTAAACAATAAAAAGAATGGTAAGTCTATCTCCGTGAATATTTCGTGTCCACACATGATTGTTCAACCTCTCAACCATCCCGACAATCGCACACAGTCAGCAAGCATTACAGGTTTAATTTTAAACATTTAAATGATTGATCAAATAGAATAATAATGAGAAATTTCTTTAAAACTATTTCAATATTTAATGTTGATTAATTTTAAAAATAGCTTAATTACTGTGTACAAATATTTGCAATTTAAGAAATAAGTAAATCTAATTAAAATTTCTTAAAGTTTTTAAGATTATTAATATTTTATTACATAATTTAATAGGTAATTCCTAAATGAACAAGGAAGAAAGGAATGAGTAAGGAAGAAATAAATGAACATTTATTTCTTCCTTACTAAAATAACTTGGATTAAAAATAGTTCTAATGATAAAAACATAGTTATAGAATTATTACTTATAATGACTCTCAATTCTATGTGCAGTAAACTAGAACTTTATATAATAAGTTTCACAACACCTTCCTTTCTTTTTTCTAGCAATTTCTTTAATGTAACTAACGTTTTCAGCTATTTTAAATGGCCTTCTTCAGGTTAAACAAAAATAGAATGTCAGTTATAATTTAAATCAGAACATAAATGTAAAACATCAAGATCTTGTGACGTCATGGTTTTACAGAAGATTTGAATAAAATCTTCTCTAAAACCATGATGTCGCAAGATCTGGATGTTTACTTTCCTTAATCCAGCAATGTATTTGTATGTTTAAGATAATAATCAGTTTTATTCAGATACTTTCCTAAAATTAAACAATTTTGATTATTTATTTTTAATCTATGCTTGTTTGATAACATGAGAAAAATTTATTTAATTTGAATATGTTTTGTAAGAAATTATTGTATTTATTTAAACATTTTCTCCTTAATTAAATAAATAATAGTAATAAATTAATATAAAACAGATGTATTAATAATTCATTTAATTTTCAGCACCTGTTTTACATTTACCTGTGAATTTAACTAAAAGGTAATTGAAAAATTTTATTTTATAAGATTAAATGTTTCAGTATCAGCTGTAATTTTAATTAATGTAAATATCATAAAAATTTATTATGTAAATCAAAAAATATACAGAAATAAGTAATTCTGATCACTAAAAAAGAGTATAAAAATAGAATAAGAGAGAGTTTAATTGATATTTTTTTGTTAAGTATTTTAGATAAAATTTAAAATATTTATGACAATACTAAGAACATTTGACTGTTCAGTAGAAAAGTGGTATAAGTGACAAAGTGTAACTTGTATATATTAGTAATAAAATTAAACATTGCTTAAAAATTAATTTTATTAAGTTCAATAAATGAGTAGATATATTTACTTATAAATTTACTGACATTTATTATTCTTTCATTTTTAAATTAATACTTTTTTGTATTTTTTAAGAAAAAAACTTTATCACTATCCACTTTTCCACTGACCTCAATTTAAATGTATAATTAGTTATATAAATAATGTTGTCTGACTAATCCAAACTAATAAATAAAAGAAATTGTTTAATACAGACATCCCTAACTTTACAGATATAGATGTGTTTGTAAAAATGCATACAAAAATTAAACAATATAGTTTTGTTATAAATAGAGTTTTATCCCCAGGAAGTCTGAAAAGAAAAATTACAAAATTTCTTATTATAATAGGAAAGTTTTACTATTTATAGTGAATGTTACAATGTGTCATAAATCAAAAATCATAGACTAAAAATTTCATTAAAAAAGAAGAATGTTATCTATTATAAGAGGATTATATGAATTTGTTAGATTATATATATGATTAAATTATACAAATTATTTCAAATTATATAAGTATTTGATTACTCTGTTTGAATACTCTTGCTTCATATATTTTTTTCACTTTAGTAGTAGGATTGTTTGGATTTTTTTAATTCATTTTTGAAATTTCAAATTACACTTTTGTTGTTTTTGTGAATTATTGTTAACTGCATTTAAGAAACTTAAATTATTCTTTTACATATGAAAGTAAGTAAATTAAATGCTTAAATTAAATTTATGAATTAAGGTTATATGAGATAACATTATTATTATTATTATTAAATAACAAATTAAATTTTGAAAATATTACAGACCAACATTTTTACCAGATCCAAAAGATGGATCATTGTATATTTATGGAACAGGAGAAGGGCGAGATTCACTTAAGAAGCTGCCATTCACAATTTCAGAATTAGTAGCTGCTTCTCCATTTCGAGGTAGTGATGGTATACTTTATACTGGTAAGTAGTTTCAAAATTTTAAAAACTATTGTTACAGTTAATTTTAAAAATTAAAGATAGATTTAAAATATCATTTTCTTTGAATTTTTCAATAATATTATCATGGATATCAATGCTTATAAAAATAAATTGTTAATGGTGGAAAAAGTATAATGTAAATGTTATGACATGTACATAGCCGAGAAAGATTTTTACATACCATAATTATGATTTAAATTCAAAAAAACACAAACGTATTTTTGATTCTATAATTTTTTTTTTATTACAATATAAAAGATGTAAAATTCCATGGGATAAAAAATTATTTTTTATCTGGTTATAAATTTTTAAATTACTTTTATCTGCCTAATTTTTTTCTTAGAATTAATTTTTAAAAAACTAACTATATTTGTTTCTTTGTTATTAAAATATAAATATTATAAGTAATGTTATATAAAATTTAATTTTTGTTAATATTTTAATAAAATTTATCATTAAATATAATTTAATAATGAAAATAAAGAGTCAAGTAATGATGAGATTTTATCATCATGAATTCTTTGATGATATTGGAAATATACATTTTTATTATTAATAGTTCATTTGGATTTAAAACTAAAATAAATAATGAAATAATTTTACTTTTACACAAAATAATAATTATAAAAATTAATATTGAAATATAAAATTGTACGTAAATAGTTGAAAGTTTATAGTTTTGGTTACTTATATTATGTAATTAGTATTTGTAACCCAATGTACCTGTTGTAACTGGAGTTTTTTCCAAATTACGCTAATAAACTTGAATTGAATTGAATATATTATGTAATTAGAAATTTTTTATAAAGGCAGTTTGCATATAGCATGGAAATAATGTGCAATTTTATTTCATATATATATATGTTGGTTAATTTAACATTTTATTGTTGAAACTATTTTAAAATGAAAATAATAATTTTTTATATTTTAAACCTTTGATTTTGATTGCGATTGTGTATGCTTTGTTTGACATCAATGACTTGGTTTGGATGTTTGGATTGTTTTTAATTTATCATGTTTGTCATAATTTTAATGAAAATAATTTAATAATTTATTTTTAATGTAAAATTTGATTAGTTTAACATTAATTTTTTTTTTTTAAATTGCAGAATTGAGTTATGGGTAAAACCTTTTTATAATAATCTTGTGAATAAATGCTCTTATGTCCACTTATATTATTTGCTCATAATCTTTTTGAAAGCAATCAAATTCTTACCTATATATTGTATATCTTCTGAAATTTTCTGATTTGTTTTTGAATGTTTATCTAAACTCATTGATTCATTAGAATCTGAATTATATCTTATTTTCTCTACATATTTAATTTATTTCTCTTTTCTCTTCTTATGTAAATTATTTTTTTCATCAGTCAAGAATCTTAGTTTTTGTTTTTTTATATACATCTTTTCTTCATGATCTGTTTCTACTTTCTCTAAATAAACATATATTCACATTATTGATTTTTTAAAATGTTGACTATTAAAATATTAAATTGATTTTCAGATCAATTGAAGTATGGTACATATTTCAATTGACCTGAAAATCAATATATATAATATAAAACATTTATATAAAATAATAAATAAATAAAAGTAAAACTGAATGATAATGAAACAAAATTGGTTGTATAATAATTATAATTTATGTGTCATTTTGTTTACATGTATTACTGTTATTTGTTTTGAATGTAAATCAATGTGTTTGAAACATGACTTTTGTTCATTTATGACTGTTAGATAGCTTTTTTTTTTTTTTTTTTTTTTACAAGATTCGTGACAGAACACCTTTGTTTAACTCTTAAGCAAATTTAATTAAGTTGAGTGCCCTTTTTTACAATTTCAAACGTAACTTAAATTCTAAAAAGAAGCACTAAACTTAATTATGTTTGAAATTCCANAAAATTTTGGTTATTTATTTAATTTGGAATTTCTATTTCAGGTAAAAAAACTGATACATGGTTTGCAATTGATCCCTTTTCTGGTGATAAACTTGATACTTTATCAATGACTGGCACTGATAAAGTTTGTCCAGTTGGAGATGAAAATGTTGTATATATTGGAAGAACAGGTAATTTTTATAAATTCTTTTGTCATTGTAATAATCAGAAATATAATTATGATATTCGACAAATTAATAATTTGTATTTACAATAAAATTAATAAAATGAAATTAATGAAAATTATAAATCACAAAATAAAAACAATTTAACTTTATTAATTGAAGAGGAATTTAAGTTTACAAATGACTGGTTTTGAGTTAGCAATGATTTCACTCTCTGTGCATGCATCCTCATTTATTTATACAGTAGGAATATACGTTATGCTTAATTGTTAGTTGTTGCAAGCATTTGATATTTACAGGTGTGGAGTAAGGGTAAATGTCTGAGGATGCTTCTTAAATGCTTATGGGAAAGTGGCAAGATATTCTTAGAAGTGTATAAGTCTACAGATACTATCCTAATATAATAAATAAAATATAAATACAACTTTTAACAAAGATGAAACTTTGCTTCAGTCTTTCTTTCCGTTGTTTTACACCATCTGCAGTTCATAAAATCACATTTTGCGATTTTATGAACTGCAGATGGTGTAAAACAATGGAAAGAAAGACTGAAGCAAAGTTTCATCTTTGTTAAAAGTTGTATTTATATTTTATTTATTATATTATTTTTATTATTATATTATATTATTATTAAATTACCATTAGCCACGTTAAATTAAATTTTTATTTTATTTAAGATACTATTCTGTTGCATAGGGGCAATGTGCCAGATTTTCAAATAGGAAATTCCTCCTGTCTTGTTGAAAAATTCTTTAATGCACTCATACTGAACATGTTTTTTTCTTCTTCATATTGCAATTGAACAGGTAAAAGATTTGCTGGAAATATTTTCTATGTAATTATGCATAACAAATAAATAAATAAGGATCCCAAGGAGCTTATTTATTTAGTACAATATTATTTTCAAAATTATTTTCTATATGTAGTTGGAATTAGATAATTCTCATAATGCCTGTCAGTTTAATGCAAAAGGTTGTGCTTGATGCAATGTTTAAGGTGAAACTTGAAAATTTTATTGATTTGTTAGTTCATTAGAAGAATCACCAATAAACACATTTTGGATAACAATACCTTGAATAAAAGTTTGTAATGTTGTATCAAAAGTGTATTAAGATTGACCAAGACTCTTGTGTGCAGTATAATGTTATATGTCCAGGAGTATTCTGTAGTCCAACAGTATATTCTGTTATATTTTTTTGGATTGGCTGTGCATTTAAGGATAGGGGAACTTGCTCAGAAGCACATATACTCTAATTTTATGTTTGTTCAGACTCCATTAAAGAATGTTTTAATTTTTTTAAATGTTAGTGGACTGGTCTTTGGCTTGCAATTATGCTCATAATGAAAGGGATGGTGGCTTTGGTCTCATTATTGGTATGATCAAAATATTGTATTATTGGATTTTAAAATCAATATTTTTTGTAAAAATAATAAGTTTGACATGGCCAACGATTATTTAATATTAATATAATAAATATAAGTACAACTTTTTAAAAAAAAATTCTTTGTTTCAGTCATTTCTTTCATTGTTTGCACCATCAGCAGTTCATAAAAATCACAAACACTCAATATTTTTTATTTATTTAATGAAAATTTTATTTAAAATTTTGATCTTATATTTTCTTTTATTTGCTACATGCAATTATTTATTGTGACATTGTCACAATGCTGGGCTTCAATTTTTAATCATATTTTTAATTTATTTAAACTATATGCTTTCCACCTCAAATTAGTAGTGTCTTGTCCCTGTACATCATACTTTCCTGCTAGCAATAAGGTTGTGCTGGTCATCTATCTAATTCCTGTTGGAAAAAGTTTTTAATTAAAATAACATGACTTTCAGTGCAAATCAGAAGTTCATATGTAGTTAATTGGGGCCTCCTGCCCCTAAGCTTTCCATATCTGGTCTTGACTTTCATCTATCTAACTCTGTTCTTGAGATTAAGAAAGGACAGAACAGACAGATGGATGACAGTGGGATTTATAGGTTTACAATTTTGTCAAATTGCAGCTCAATAATTCTAAGCTAATAATAATTCAATTCTAAGCCAATAATAATTGGCTTAGAATTGAATACTTTGTAAATAAAAACTATATTAAACTCAAGTAACTTTTTACAAGCTGATGATATTATATTAGAACTTATTGAAGTTTTTTATTATAAATAACTCAAAACAAATTTTTAATATAATATTTTTTTTCGTATTTTTTATTATATTGAGCATTAATGTGTGTTTTATTTGTTAGCATTTGTTGAAAAAATAATTTTCAATATAACAACATTATAATTAAATTTTTAATTAAAGAATTTACAGTATATGTAATTTAAATATATTCTGTGCCTAAATATTTTAAATTAACTAAAGTTTCAAAAAATAATTAAAAGAAATGAAATAACTTTTGGGAGAAGTAGAATCTCCTGGGAAATGATGATAGGATTCTAAATTTTAAAAGAAATTTTGACCAGTGTGGAAAACAGTAACTTTGATTAATGTGCAAAAATGTACATATATATTTTTTTAAATCTCAAATTATATTAAAAAAAATTAAATAAGAATATAGGACACAAACAGGATTTAATCAAGATGCAAAATACAAATCAATAATAATATTTAATTATTTTTCTTCACTATTTTTGCAGTAAATTGCCAATGGTTTATTTTATATAGCTGTTTTCTATTTAAATGCATTGTTAACAATTCTAACAATTAAAAGTCATTAACTTATGTGCCATTGTCTTTCTTATTAACTTATATAAAGAGTTTGCATAATTCTTTATATACTATAACTACTATTATATTTTTCTGACTTTTTGAATCACTTTATATCAAATAATAAACAGACCCTGCATTAGAAGTGCATTGATTTGTATCTGTTAAATGCAATTTTGTTCTAAAGAAAATAGGACTTCGAACTCACATTTGA